AAGAGCGGTAAAGAGAAACAGACAAAAAAAGTAGACTGGAATTCGTAATCAGAGACTAAGTGCTTCTAGTCTTCTAAAATTATCAACCATAGTTAAAACTAAACACTGAAGACTGTACAAGTTCTTTTGATCTGAAGAAGGAGGATTTCAAAATTGTGTCTGGAAACACTGTAAGAACTACAGCTCTATGGTCTAAACAAAGTAAGAGATAGCCATTAGTCCTTGACTAATAATGGCTTTCAAAGCTACATCCTGAAACATGGTTTTGGACAACTCAGTTCTTCCGAAGAAACCAAGAATCCATGTACTTCTAATGGAGACTCCATATAATGAACTTAAGCACTGTTTTCATTTGATTGTGTTCACACAAACACTAGAATACATTTACAAAGCTCTACATCTGGGAACCTAGGCTTCAGGAATAGGTCTGAAGCCAGGGTTGACAAGGATTAGTACCCTGAAAAGCAGAAAGTGTTAGAATAGGTCTGTGGTACCTGTGGTTAACTAATTCTCACACTGAAATTCTGCCTAGCTGGGAACAGGGCCCCTGAACTCAGATCTCTGGAAAATACAGTGCTTACACTGAAGAAAAGGAATTGCTAAAACTCCATGTCCACTTACCCATACGAATGGCAGCGAGAAGATCACTTCGTGCATCACTTATTGGCGGCTGTGCAGGTTCATGACGCTTTGCCTCAGCAGCTAGAGGAGCATGCATTGGGGAGGAAGAGAGGGATGACCCTGCAGCAGGGGGGCCTGGAGGGGGAGGAGGTGGGCCAGGAGGAGGAGGAGCTGTGACAACAAGCCCACTAGAAGGAGGAAGATGAGTAGCAGCATAGGTGGGGCCAGTCACCAGTCCAGAATGGGAAGCTGGCAGAGGAACCTGGAGGGGACTAACAAATGCAGTTTGTGCTGAAGGAATCATAGGGGGAGGGGGCGGGGGAGGAGGACCTGTAGGATTGTAATAATCCACCATCTGAGCTGGAAGCATCCTAGGTAAAAGAGAATAAAAAAGACTGTTGCACTGAAAGTTAGGACTTACAGAATCACAATCCCTTAGACTGTTCTCCAACCTCAGCTAAAACAAAAATTGAAAGGAATTTAAACTGATGCATTAAATATAAAAACAACTACAAATACAGGAAATTCCTAATATTGAGGTAATATATTCTGATTTAAGGCAGATGACATATTTAAGGACAATCCTTTTTCAGCTCTCTTCATATCAAGCCAGTTCTCAAACAAAGTAAGATTTTATCTTACTAGTCCTACCCAGTTAAGTATACCGCCATATGTTACTAAACATTGCTCCGTGAGAATATTAAGCACAATGCCGATGATTAAGAAGAAAGCAATAACACTATTAGACTATGATTATCACTTCCACCAAACACAGGGCTTTAGAACAACTGTCAAGAAATAATAAAAGACAGGAGGAAAACAGAAGGTAGGAATGGAAGGATTTACCCAAAGGTATATCGTGCATCTCACGTACTTCTTTAACCAAGTTTGTCAATTTAAACGTTATTTAATTAAACTGATAAATTTGATTAAATTGATACTTCAAAGGAATAGGGAAAATCTAATTTACTTTGTAAAATGTCATTAACATAACTGTTAAAAAGGAAAATTAGTACAAGTATTCTGAAATATGTAAAGAACTGTATAAAGGGGACAGGCATTACAGGGAAGTTAATAACATTCAGTGAAACAAAGTGAATGCTGGGTATGCATGTACCTAGGGACTAATCACAGGAATTTCGGTGATAACTTGGGAAATGATTAGCTGGAAATAACAGAGAAGAAGTGGGCTGGCACAGTCCATCACAGTATAACTGTGAGTCATCTACAGCATGAAAAGGGTAAATGCTATCCGAGGATGCACCATCTGAAGGTGAAAAAGCTTGGCTAGCCTAGCTTAACAAAACACAGGCAAGAACAGATACAACTGCACTAGGGCTGCCTCTGGAAAGTTTAAGCTATTTAAGCAAAAGGACAATGTTGACACAAGAATGCATAGGTACAGATTGGCTAGAAATAGATTCAGGATGAAAAAGAAATGATTTCTTCCTGTCAGAGAACCAATGCTATGGAGCAAACCCTCCTTCAAAATTTCAGGCAAAATGTCTACATAGGAATCTGATAAATTCATAAGTGGAATTATGGAGATGTCTGTGGCAGCAGGGGACTAGATTCAGTGTCTGAGGAGATCCCTTCTACTCTCATCATAAGCTCCTTTCCAAATCATTCCAGGGATGCAACACAGAGACTGCCATGTCAATCACATTTAAAGATCCTTTTTCTGCACCTTTCTTGCAGTCAGAAATATTATTCAATTAATTATACTGTAACTACTTTTCATTATAAAGGAAATGTATCCCCTTTTTAATATTACATTAGGGACCTTTAATATTTTACAAGCATATTGCTTTCACTACATTCAATACACAGTTCATGATTCCTCCTTTCACCATTTGCTCATCTGAGTTCAGTTCATACATGAAGATCATATTAATTTTCCTCTGTCCTCTGTGAGATAACTAGAGGGATTTGCTATTTTTGTACAACGTATACATCATGTGTTATGATGGTTACGAAAAACCTATATTCTTCTACTTTTGTCAAGAATGCACTGGAGTAAATCAGGAGCTTTACCCATATTCTGCTGGTACCACAGGTACTGAACTATGTTGGCTGTCTGAAGGCTGGGGTGGAGGTGGAGGTGGTTGCTGAGGTCTGTTTAAAGTAGCATGTCGTACTGTGGTAGAAGGCGGCCTGTATTCATGCTCGTGGCTTTGGGATACTCCCATATACTGTGGACCATCTCCTGTTCCATATGAAGGCATTGATATCTGCTGATGGAGGGAATGATTCGGAGTAGCAGGATAAGAATAATCTGTAACATCAGATGCATGGGACCTAAAATTAAAGTAAATGGATGCAGGAGAACATATTATATGAGTCTGGCAGAATACTAGCTAAATAGCTCACCAGTAAAGCTAAAAATGTAATTGGAATAATTTTTCTTGCAACATGACTCCCTAATTATGAAGCACCATTCCCTTGTCAGCCCATGGAAAAGACAACAAAAGCAACAAAAAGTATCATGGTTTAGTTTCACATGCCTTGAAAATAAATCAGTCTCATAAATTGGCATAGGCAGACTAAAATTGAATGACTTCAATATTTTGGCATATTAACTCTGCAGTGGAATGTCCTCTTATAGCACAAACTTTAAGAAAGAAAAAAAGAGAGCTTTCTCTGGGTTTTAGACTTCTTTAGTAGCCAGAAGGAAGCAAATTGTTTTGGGGGATGGTTTTGACAGGCCATTGTTTGAAATGATAGTAGTTATCAGGTTGGCCTTAAGTTAACAGTGACAGCAGAAAAATGAAAGCAACATTGCAAGCACTCACAGTTATGCAGAAGATTATATTTCACCAAAGCAAAGAGAACCGATTCCACCAAAGCAAAGAGAACCAATTTCAGAAGTTAGAAAATGCTTTTTGCTTTGTTTGCACAAATAGTTTTCTTGGAAAAGCTTAGAGAAACTGAGAAATGTAAATATTAGTTGAGCAGAGAGTTCATAAAGATACAAAGTCTAGGATGCTCTGTCAAATAAGCCCAAGAGAGGGAGCAAAAGGATCTCTTCATCCTGTTACTGCACAAAGCTGTATTGTATTAGTAATGAACAATCGTGCAGGCTGGCTTTTAGTGAACAGAATAAACTGATGCACTTATCTTTAAGACTGGAAGCAAGGCAAGCAACAAAAAGCCAGGGCTTTGAGTAAAACAAAATGACAAACCCTTTGGGCATTTTGTCCTCTTTCATGCTTCCTGCCTGCTCCATTTTCTTTGCGTCACTCATGAACTCAATGCCCATTTTCCTTCTCTCCCACTCTTCTTTTCTTGTTCTTACTTTTCTCACATTAATTTGCTGGTTTCTGTTTGGATTCAGCTTGTGTTTCTCTCTCTGAAGTGCAATAAGTATAACAAATACATTGTAAATGGCCACAGTCTGGAGACCTAGATTTCAACCTTTAATACTTAAGTTCTGCAATTATCAAACTACGAGGAATATGAGCATTTTTTTTCTTTTAACATAAAAAAACATGATATAACTACAGACATTTCCTTAGGACATTATTTAAAACACAATGCTTATGCAGTAGCTGTCCACACAAGAACACATCTGAAAACCGGACTCACTTCTACACACATCATGCTTTTTAGGCTTTTTATAGCTTAGCTCCTACAATTAAGACTACACCAAGATAAAAATAGAAAACCTTCTCCCCACTAGTCACAAAACTAAAAACTCTTGATGCATGTAAAACACAGACTGCAGGGTTCAATCTCTGGTATTTGGTCCACTGAAATTTTAAATTTTTCAGATATAAACCTTTGAAGTTTTATAATAAGTACAGTATGTCTGTCACATCATAAAATCCATACCCAACATAATGATGCATCTTTACAATTTCTGCTTAAGGAAACGTTACACATTGCAACTACTATGGGTATCTGCAAATAATCAAACACATTTTGACACTGGGGGGAGATAAAAAGACAAATCGCTTCAATGTGACTGTTCAAACTCAGGAATCCTGGAAGCAAGGTGCTAAGGCCAGAAAAAGACTTAAAATGTGTGAAAGGCAGAGCTCAGAGATGAAAAATCCACATCTGGCATTTGACAGCTGGACACCAATGTCATCTCAGAAGATCAACCTTTGGAAAGCAGTCTTAATGAAACATTACAGACCGACAAGAAGGAGATAACATTTTGCATTAGAAAATATAGCTCACTAAAAAAAATTAGTGGTAAAGTATTCTAGACAGAGAGGGGGTCTGGACATGCTATTGAAACAGCAGTAGGAATTTCCTTTAAAATTTTTGTTTCAACTACAAGACAACTACAGTTCACAGAGTCTGAAACAATAGTTCTATAAAGTTCTGAGCAGATCTTTTTCATTAACCTCAGCTGGACAGTGGACTAAAGATATCAGTCCACCCTCTTGCAATGGAGTCTGTTTCCTTATCCTACCTATTCCACAATTTAAATACAAACTAAATCGTGAAACAGTTTTTTACTAGATTGTTTATTCCTTACATTTCAGCTAGCAATTAACCATAACGCACAGAGGAAAAGAAAATAAGAGGGAAAATTCTCTAGTGAGACCAGCTTAGTGAACAGACTCAGAAGAGCTGTGCATACCAAGAGAGGGTATCTCCCACTGAGCTCAAAGAGAATCTCGTACACATTTCGGGAGAGGAACGACGAAGACCAACTCTGCTGTGTGTCTCTAAGCAGACATTTTCATTCAAAGTGATCTGTTTCAAGCAATAATGTTGCATCTGGTTTTATAGCTTGCTTTATAGACAAGTAGAAGAGTGATAAAGCAGAACTGTTCCCTGTACACCTGATTGAGTTGATTACCTGAATAATTTCTTGTGCAGTTCTTGTGTAAAGAGAAAAATATTTGAAGATCTCAGAGAGGCTAAATCCTGAAATGATTACGTCATTGTTCATAGAAAAATATATATTAAGCTATCAGCAGCATAACATATGACAAACTATAGATGAAAGAAGAGGTATTGATATTCGCTAGTAAATACAGATTTAAATGCTACTGCCACTACAGCTACTCAAGATCAAATACAAAGCATATGTCACATACGAAATAACTGCTGAATTATGATGACAAAACGCTCATCGGAGGTAGAGGAAGAAAAATTTCATTAATTATATAATTCACTACATTATATGCACTTTAAGAGAATTTTGAGAAGAGCTTTAAAACATTTATTGTATGCGTTGTCTAATCTGCTACATTCCCAACCTATAAAAACACCTAAATCTACTCAGTATTTGTGAATGTACAACTGCAGTAAAACAAAAGGCTTTATTGTAAACAGACCTAGTATCTGGGGACAGTGATCCCTCGGAAGACGCTCCATGGTACACATTTTGAGACAACCTGTTGTCAGGTCTAAGCTCTTTGTCATATGCCATCATATTCCACTCCTGGCGTCTGTTCCTGGCTTTTCTAACCTTTTTCACCTCACGGGTGGTGCCATCTATACGCTTTTGCTCCTAATGTTCAAACAAAAGAAATACAGCATGCAAAGAGAGAAAAAAAGGAAAGGGAAAAGCAGGTTAAAATGCAGTTAGAGCGCATGAAAATAAGACTAGGTTTACAGATGAAGATAAGTTTACATAAAATTTCTCTACACTACAAATGACTCCTTAAGCTATGAACTTCATTTGGAAGCAAGACTGTTGCCTTGTCCTTTTTCTGAAAGATGTAGATGCTAGTTGTGATACTGATCTGCTCTTCTTCCCCAACACAAACAGAATTCACTGATTTTAAAAGCTAGCAAGAACGCTTAACTTCTCCTGACATCGTATGTTATTTATTTAGACCGTCCTGAAGGGCTTTTAATTTTTTTCTCCTGCAAACCAATACTATGAGAATACGTTGAATTTGCTCAGGCCTTGGAAAAATATGTGGAAGAAATGGTAACACTATCCAATTAATTTCACATTCTATGAAATTAGTTTCACTTTTCTAACTTACTCTCCCTTCTTAGATCTGATAACAAACAACCACAATTCCTCTCACTTTCTTCTCGCCCTTGTTTCCTATTATCTTACACAAAATGAATGACACTAATCTTCTCAGCAATATATCAGTAATATTCAGGTCAGTGATCTACTGCAGCTTGATAGCGTCACAACAAATCAGTCAATTTAGTTTTTGAAAATCTTTCAATAAAATTTCAGGCGCAATGAATGTCAATGTTTATGTATCAACTAGATCTTCTAATAATGGCATTCGAGGCTTTCGCACCTCTGAAACGGCTCCCTCTCCTCACCCTCTGACTACTCAGTACAAATAAAATCATACTGAGCTCCAGTATGACAAAAGGCAAGTTTGCACTATCCAAACTCAAAAAGGTATTTATGTCCTACTCCTTTTCACAAACCTAACAAGGGCCTTGGATTTTCTGCTGGCTCTAGAACCCATACCTTACAATACTACCTCATAAGTAGGTTGAAGATGTGTTTTTCTATTAATAATTTGGTATTAGACTTTTGGTTTTTAGAAAAATATAGTCTCTTGGAAAAGAATTATATTCCTATCTAAGAACTACAGTCGTATTCAATTCTATTGAATAAGGAGTCCAGTAAAATGCCAACATCTAAGCATTTTCTTCTCCCCAAAACGAGGAGAAAAAAGGCATGTCACATGGATGAACAAGAATAATTTCCTGCCACTGTCAAATAGCACTGATAAATAATACTGAGACAGTTTATTTGGCTTTACACAACTAACAACCATTAAATGGCTTGCTTGCCCTCTTTTTGGATCTCCTGCTTGTCCCAGGCGTGTCCATGTGAGGCACCTGCCGATCCACATTTGTCACCGTTCACAATAAAGGAGACAACTTTTTGAAGTTAAACATCCAATTGTTCCTAACAACACTTGTTCATTCCCGGACCCTGCAGTGATTGATGCAATAAATGTCAAACAAGAGTCATTACCTTGGTTCTGAATTACCACCTATTAATTCTTTTCCCTCCCCAAACTTCTTTTAGAATCACCCTCTTTTGTGTTCAGGTTACGTAGTGCTTTACCATCTCCTTTAATACCGTTTCTTCACATCAAAATTTCCCAATATAGGAATCAGAGCAGAAGGGAAATAGATTCAGTCACGCTTTATTTTGAGTATATGTAGTTTTGCTCATTTCCATGGCTGAAGATATGCTTTCTAAATGCTTGACATCTTTTTCATTTGATCACTGCAAGATTTAATTGGTTTTAATTTCTGAATTTTATCTTGGTTCATTTATTTAGATTTTGTTACCTACTCATAAGAGATTTGTGAGAAAAGTACTAGTAATCCTTTGAGTTAATTGAAAGCATGCTTTAGTTTTTTCTTCTCACAGATTACTAACTCCATCCTCTAGGATTCATTAATATTATGTATTACTTGTAAGTTTTCAGAAAAAGTAAACATCAGCCTTCTGAACAATGCACGCTGGCTCCTCTCTGGAAGATAATGACTTCAATACAACTACGGCACAATCAGGAGTGCTTATGTGTTTATATGTAATCCATCTAGTACTTATACCTGTTTATATGTAACCATCGATTTAAGTTTTTAAGTGATCACTATGTTTCTATGAAAAATATAAATACATATATCTATGTATGCATGTATAAATAAATAAAAACATGTAGGTATGCAAATGAACAAATATATCCTTTTTACTTGAACAGCACTTAACTCTACTTTTTAAACTTTTAAAATCTATTTTTAATTATTTTAATCTACTTTTTGAATTTTTTAGTTAAATATTATACAAACACATCTCTAAAACATTTCTTCCAAAATAACGAAGCAGACCTATTTGCAGCAGCAGAAAAAAAACTATAAGTCTGTAACAAAGTAGTTTTATCTTATTTCAGTAACACTGAAGGTTTTCATTAGCACTTGTATACTGGACAAATAGTTTCATTACCTTGGCAAACAGTGGTGACAACTCTAGTTTTAAGTACCTAGGGCATTGACAACAGAGTTCTAGGGAAGCTTTAAAAATAACTACGACTAGAAATATCTTTCTTAGGAAAGCTAAGCAAATATAAAACATGTACTTCCTTATAACTGACAGTTAATAGAAACTGTGGTAGACAAGCGGATGCTGTAGGGTAGGCCAGAAAACAGGTACGTTGTTCAACTATTGGCAGGAAATGATTTCAGTAAACACAGCAAACAGAGTTAGAGCCATCAAACAGGGGCAAGTTAATTCCGTTTTTACATTTGCACCAAGAGTTAGCAAATGGTATTTAAAGCATCTTAATACAGAATAAGAGCTAATAACAGAAAGTAGCTTCAGCAAGAATTTGCAACACTTTCAGGAAACTAAAAGCTTGAGCCTAGTGTATTTTTCTGACTTTCCAAATTTCCCATTCTATCAGTTACAAGTCATCAAGAATGATTTTTAAGATGCAAGTATACAAAAGCCAAAAATTAAAAAAAAAAATCCAACTATTTAAATAACTATACTCATTCCGCAGGAAAAAAAATGGGGAACAATAAAAAGCAAGGTGGAACAACTTTGCTTTGGTTAACAACTGGTCTAAGGTGACTCAATTCAGAATACTGCTGATAAACGTAAAAGTCAAAACCAACCACACTGAACTCTTATACAGTGACCTACTGAAAGCTTACCATGTAAAGAACAGGAGAATATACCATAGGTTTTAAATTTAAAAAGAATAAAAATCACAGTTTTCTTTGGAGAAAATGTTCATCTGAAAGACGCGAATCAGAGAAAGTCTGTATTAAATTCCTCCAATTCAACTGAATACTGCAACAACAAATAAGTATGATATTTAAAGGTGACAGAATGAAACACCTCACAGATTTCCTGTTGCTCAAGCATTTAAGGCAAATAAGCAAAATGATACTGGAAAACAAATCCTCTGAGGCAAGGAATATTCTTAATCTTCAGTGACCGCACAAGAAGTTGTGGCTAAAAACCAGCTATATTTGGTCAGCTGAGTAGCACTGCATTTGGATATCTAGCTTATAATATCCTAAATGATACATCTTCATCTGCACACAGTCTCTCAACAACTTGTATATTTTGTGCTTCTGTAAAATACAAATTGTTTGAGGAATTCTCAGTTAGTAGATTCAAAATATAATTTCAGCCACGATAAACATAATAGATGCTTCAGATTCATTACCAGTCACTACTATTGTAAGGACAAGGACAGAAGAAAATGACAGTGTGTTAAGCAACCTCTGGAACTAACAGGGTCTGAGAGATGTTTCAGCCGCTGCCCTCCAGCTCTCTTAAGCTTCCAGATGACAACATGCATGCTTGCCCACCAACTTCTGCAAAGCTAAAAGATAGATTTCTACCTACCGCATAAAGTCAGACCAATCTATGCAAATTCGTATCTGTTCTTGTTAGGTGGTTTTTTTCATATTTAACTCAATTCTATATGATTGGGATTGAAAACATTTTCTATTTTGTATACTGTGACGATTAAAATCTACACAAAATATACCATGGACAGAAACAGGTGACACGTATTATTTAAAATATAGTCTGAAAACAAGTTTATAAAAAGTCATTTTATGAAAATCTCTATCAAATTTTTTTCAAGTGAAACTTGGTTACAGAGGTGGTCTTTAAAAAAAAAAAAAAAAAAAAGTTGTGCGATTTTCCCCTAGCTGTTTTGCTTTCTAATATCAAACCAGAATGAAGAAATTAGCTCTTCAGTTTGTATCCCTCTCCCTAGTGACAAGCTCTACATTTGAAAGGAAAAAAAAAAAAGGCTAGGGAGAAAAAAAACCAAAGTTGTAATTATCTATATAGATTTTTCCACAGAGAAACAGCGAATAAAATTAAAAAAGAAACGACTAAACTGGACAATGAAAGTTGCTTTAAAATCTGTCATAATTGTTTCCCATCCTTTAATCAGCTCTATGACTTATGATACTGAGAATATAGTGGGATCATAACTTTGCATATAAATTTGTATAGAATAATACCAAAAAATAAAAGAGCATTTCCCAATATTTTGCTTCAGATTGAGTTTCTTCTATGGAAGATGTTTACTCAGCTTTTTCAACTTTTATTTCCTATTTCAATACTGAGATATCTGTCAAAACAGAAAACCTTCTTGAATTGGAGTCCAATTAGGAAAATTTGATTTAATTTTGCAAAACTTTTTAAAACATGAATTCACTAAATGCTTTAGTTAAACCATCTTTTGCTTTAAAATGTTGTAGACAGAAATTCTTGTCTAGCAACCTGAACAAGGAACAAATTTCACTTAATAAAATCAGAACACTAAAGCTTCTCAAGCACGTTCTGTATTCTCATGTCTAAGCTGGTATTATATACATTAATATATTTATATTTAGCATATACTGCAAAACTAAGCAACTGTCTTCTAATTCCTTTAAGTAGCCTGTTCATCTTGGTTTTATTTTTAAATTCCATACTTCTCACTGAACCTATCTACAAGGGCAGCTACCTGCCAGATAAGATAGGCAGTTGCTGCTCCATCAAGCCTTCCTTCTTCCCTTTTTCTTAGGCCTATCTTAAAGAATCTTATGGCCTTGTAAGATTTGATTAAAAAAAAAAAAAAAGCAAAAAAGCAAAATGAACAGATTGCAGAAGGACTAAAGACACTTTCCTATGAAAAAGCCTTTTTTTGTTTCTTAAACTTTGCAGAAACAAAGAACATTTCTCCTAAAGCTCTTGTTGCTGAACTGCAGAATAAATTTGTTATCTGTTATCTATTACTCACTTCTAATAAGTTTAGAAAAGCAAAGAGTTACTACAAAGAAATTAAAACCCCAACAGAATATGCATTGCTGAGTAAGTCCCTGTTTTGCTATAGGAGTTGATGCTGCTGGATAAAAAATTATGAAAATAAAGAAAACTGTAATTCAAATTCCTTTGTTCTCTAAATCATATAGTCTTTTCTTTGAAGTAGAGCAGGGCTATTTGTCTAAGTATTAATAAGCAGATACTGGCAAGAGATTAAAGAAGTTATGATGAAAGATAACTACAGTTATCCTAACATTCAGTTTGCCAGCTTCTTAAAATAGACAGCATGAACTATAAAAACTGAACCAACTCTAAATCTACAGCCATGTCTAAAAGGAACTGCCTTTCCACACATATAAACTGAGTAGGATCTAGCAATTCTTTATGCCTGAACAAGCATACATGAAAGTATAATACATATATTTTCTATTATGTTTTTGCTTTTACCTTCTGTCTCCTCTTCTCTTTTCGCTTATCTTCAGTATCTTGTAACATTTTTTCTTTCCACAGATCAAAAAAATAGGAAGGATCAGTATAGAACTTCAATCCATCTTTCTTATCATCCCTGCAAATACAGTAGAATACAAACTAAGACAATATGAATTAGTATTTTTAAACTAACAAAGCTAACCTTTGAGGATCGTTTGAGCTTAATCTCTTTGTACTACAGGATGACAGCATGCCAAGTGTACTACATAGCACTCTTGCTAATTACAGCTTGCTGTTTGTTTGGTTCATGCCAAGGATTCCAGGGAAAAGGGGTGCAATCTGCTGCCTTTTGGGCAGCATGCTTCCGGATTATGCCTCCTCAGACCTCAGGGGGAGCTGTCTGGGCTCCTGCACAGTCTTCCTCACTGGACTGAAATTCCCTGATGTTGCAAGATGATCAGTGTCGAGACAGGACGTGCAGGGGATGGAGTAGCCTCAGTTACGAATGCAACTCAACTGATTCAGAAAGACTAGAAGAGGAGGATTTGGCTAAATCCAGACAAGTCTTACGATCTGAATTTGGGAACAGGGTAGGTCTGAGAACCTTTGGCCTTATGGCAGGAAGAACAGGACAGCACTACTTAAAATGGGCTCTTCCAACTCAGGAGGAGCGCTAGGAAAGGGCTGGAGAACAGAAAACTGAATTCCACTGCACTGCCCTAGGACGGTTTGGGACTGAGCTGATTTGGGCTTGCTGGCTCCACTTGGCAGCAGAGAACCTCCTGGAAACAGGGTCACTTAGGTTAAGGAGCCCCTGAAAGGATATGCTATCAATTCCTAATTTGGGGTGGAGTAAACACTTGATGCCATGGCTTAGAAACAGGGAATCTTCTGAAATCCTACATGTTTGGAAAGGAACAGGGACAGGGGGATTCAACACAGCAGGGCAGCCGGCACAGTCCAAACAGTATGTGAAGGTGATCCCAGTCTAGCTTCCTAAAATGGTGTCCTTCAGCATCCCTTTTGGCTGTGGATCCTAATTTCTTCCTACACAAATTCTGATGGCAGCTGAACCCAAATGTCTTCCTGCAGGATCAACAGTGATGGAGATCCAGCATATAGAAACCGTGCAACCACTGGAGCAGGGAACAGACAGCAGTTCCTATGTATTGTCTGATCATATCGCCCTAAGTCCCTTACTTTTGGGTGTTAGATCTCTTTGCTACGAAATTCTGAGATTTTGAAGGGGTTATTCTCCCATACCTCCAGCTTTGGTCAGACTACAGTTTGAGGTTAGTTTAAACTTAGTACTTTTTTCATCGTAACAGTGATAGGGCAAATACAAGCAATTTAACTTCAGTAGATCTAAAAGATTTACCAAGAAATACAACTCAAGTAAGTATATTTCACTAGTGCATCCCTAATAAAACTGGAAAAAGACAATAAAGCTCACTGCTATTGTCATCCAGATATATTATTAGGACATAACTATGCAGAACAGTTGACTGAAACAACTCTTATTAGCTGACCACCCATAAAAAAACCACACAACTGTATGTAGCAGCAGGTAGAAAAGTATACTTCAACTATAAATCTAAATTTTACCTTCCAAGTAAAAGCTGTAGAAAAATACTCTGCAAATACACTAAGTCATTCCTAAAAAATTTTACACATAAGTTACTGCAAACCGAATCCATTTAGCCAGATACTTCATGATATAAATATTAGACTTCCTGTTATAGCTGTAACCAATGTTAATTATATTGAATTATCTTCCTTAGTTTTGCAATCTAGTACCTCCCTAAATTTAAGGGACGCAGTGAAAACATGTTGTTTACACCTTCAAGAAAAACAAGTGAGATTAATTTTACAAACAATCATAAATTTAACAAAAACCAGAAAATGAAGTCCTGCTTGCTGCTGTTTTCTTCACCAGTCAGTAGCCAGGAAAAAGAAGGGTAAAGTGTGCGTTTATGCATGTGCGCTTGTGTAGGAGCATGCACGTTGCACATGTGCGCGCTTGTGTGTGCACGTGCACACCACACATCTGCAGGAGATGAGGGAAGAAAAGGCAACAAAACCCAGCTTTCAAGATAAATAAACTAAAGACTTTTTTACTATCTTATTAATTTTCTTTTCACTTTTTACATAATCAACGGCACTCGCTTTTAGCTCCCATGCTGCCATGTAATATTATTATGCTGAAACATGATGATTTTTATTAGACTGCAGGGTTAGGTACAACTTATGACTGTAAGTACGATAACAGCTTTCGTATTCACGAACAGAGAAATCACTGAAATATTCAACAAACCAAACCTCAATAACTAACACAGCTCTTCCCTTATGCTGTAATCACTCCCACATACAACTAAGAGACAAATAGCAAAGTACAAGAATGTATGCAATTAATGTTTCCATACCTATAAGGCGAAAGAATATTCAGAGGAGGTGGTTTGTCACTCTGATTATAAATATCAGCCACTGGGTTAGGAATACTGTTCTTTGAAACTACCTGCTGATCTTGAATTGTTGAACTCTTGAATGCTTTTTTCATGTTGATGTCTTGTAATGATACTATTAGAAACAAAAATGTATTTATCATAGGTCAAAATTTAACATAAATGAAAAATAAAATCTATTCTATGCTAGTTATTTAAAATATTTTCAGCAAAATATATAAGAAAAACCAAAATATTTAACTTTCACAGACAATCATGATATTTAAGCACAACAGCATGTAAAAATTGTCATACAGAACCAGATCTGAGACCCACGCAGTCCAAAATCTCATTTAAAATAATGAGACCACAAGCTGTTTGTCTTGGAAGATGGTGCAAAAATCCTGTGGCAAACAAATACGCTGTAATCTGCCCTTCTTACCAGGTTTCACCTGGATTGGTCATATCTGAAACGCAAGGTTTGATACTCCTCTGTCACAGCATGTTTTATAATTACAATCGTGGGTGATCATTCCATACAGACACATCCAACTCCGTTTTAATTGTTATTAAATTATGGCCTCAAGAGCCTTCTGTGAGAGTGAGTTCCCCACATCTTCTACCTTATTTCAATTCACAGTCATTCCATAAATTGAACATCCCTCTAATCTTAAGTTTTCCTCATTTCTCTATGGAGAGAAATACCTTCCTTATACAGTTCAATAACATTTTTATTATATCTGCTCACGTACATAATTCTGGGATAACAATATCAATCTTTCCAATTTTTTTTCTCAAATGAAAGATTTAAGTTGCTTTTAGTTGTTCCTATCACTTCTAGTGCTTTTAGTTGTTCCTGTCAATTTTAGCTAGACTTTCTTTCATTTTTAACATGGTTTTCTTGAAATGGAGTGATGGCTGCTAAAACAATATCCACATAATGCCAATCACTGATTTAAAAGTAGCAGTAAGCTATCTTCCATTTTTAGGTAACCCAATACATTAGTTTTTGAGTGCAGTTGAACAAAGAGCTGAAGTCTTCACTGGCCTGATATAACTTTTGACTGATATAACTATTCAGGAATATTGCAAGCCATAGGAGTAGTACAAACATTTTCCTCCAAAATGCCCTGCTTTGTTTTCTTTTTATTTCTATTAACATTTTCATCTAATATTACTTGTCCCTTCATCTAAATTATCAAGTCTCAAGAACAAACAGTGAGAATTTAGCATATTAACTGAACAATCACAGGCAAAAATTTGATGTATAGGTGATGTGTAAAAGGAAAAGGCATCAACTTATAAGCAGACCCCATAAAATACCCTGTCCTTTCGTATGATGAAAGCTGAATCCCACTGAGACTTCTCTACCACGTATCACAGAATCACAGAATGGTTGAGGTTGGAAGGGACCTCTGGAGATCATCTAGTCCAACCCCCCCGCTCAAGCAGGGGCCTCTAGAGCACATTGTCCAGGATCGCATCCAGACGGCTTTTGAATATCTCCAGCGAAGCAGACTCCACCACCTCTCTGGGCAACCTGTTCCAATGCTCTGTCACCCTCACAGGAAAGAAGTTTTTCCTCAG